ATCAGCCAGTCATTTTAAAATCAATGGTGCAAATAATAATCGTGATAGCTCAGTCATAAAATAAAGCTTTGTGAAAAGCTGAAAACATTTAAATTGGTAATGGTTTCGTGACGGTGTAAAAGAAATTACAGTATCATTGAATGATTTATAGCTTCTTGTTCCCACATAATTCACACAGTGAAGTAGGACATGTGACGTTTAATTATTTGGAAAATTTAGTATTTTGTATAATTTCTCACTCATGATTAGTGTACAGCAGTCGGGTATCTTTCAAATAAAATACATCAACATTCAGCGCCGGTACCTTTCTGAATTATTTCTCAGATGGAAATATGCATATAAAAGATATGGAATAACATTTATTCTCTCAATGCAAAGGATCCTGTGCGTCCGTTACGAAGTCGCATTATAAACCGTGTGTCTGGTGGTCTGGTAACTCAACTTTTCATAATTCTGAGTAAGTAGTAAAATCAGATAGCACCGGGTAACTATCACTAGCAATTACAGATCAGGAATTCCTTTTACGCCGCACAATGATCAGTAACACACTCAGCAAGTATGTTAACGCAATAGACAAGTTTCGATTACCGCCGTTATCTTTGAAACCGCGCACTCTGGTGTGAACATGTTTCATTTCGGCTGTGTATGGGGGTAATTATAATTTGGGCGCTATAAATATGATTATGATCCAAAGATGAATGCATTAACTGTATCTGCTGGTCATGTAAACTGAATATTGATCGGTCACTAAGGTAACTAATTTTATTATACCAAATAAAGTAACCCAATGGTAAACGTTGACGATATTATACTGTTTTTGTGTCCAGTAAGTATCATTTGTTGTCCTTCATGAGTGTCATTCATTGTAACAAGCTATGTCTTGGCATGCGTATAGGGTGTTTTTTGTATATATGGGATAGCTGTGCATTGGCTGACATAGAATATCATGTTGCTTAATGTATTATGTCCAAGCGAGGACTCAGCGTACGATGTCGACTATTCGTGTGAAGGGCTTTGCGATAGAGGTGGGATTTTTGGTTCAATTTGCCGTTATATTTCTTATACGCCAGCAATATCCGAATTTATCATACAGACAGAAAGCTAACTGTGTCCCATGACCTCAGTGGAGTCACGAAGCCAGATTCCCAAATGCCGTGCCGAGTGCCGTCCAAGGTAAAATAAAGTGAATATTGAAACTGTGTATTTTTAATTGAAGACTTTTGTCAACATATATTGTAGTGTTTCCCGTTATATATATTGTAGACTTTTTTCCTTCACTTGTGTAACCAAGATTTGAGGTACAGTGTTGTGATTGATCAGCATAGGCTATAGCACCAATTTCTCCCTCGCATTTCGAAGAATTCGTAATATAACATCCCATAGACAAAGTAGTTCACAAAATTCCATATCATACAATGTTTGCATGGTTAAGTGTTTGTAATGTTTGCACTGAAATACAGTAACTCACAGGTTCATCGCTAAAGCAACGAGTTTTCATCTCCTGACCTGTGTTATAAAACTCCTTTAACAGGTACTATTAGATTAATAAAACATTTATTACATAACATACATCTGAAATAAGTATCCTTGTAATATTAAGTATTATGTTGTCCTGGATGACTCACGATTGATCAAGAAATTTTTTTATTTATTTAATCATATATTTAAATTAAGTTGAATTTCTACACTGATTACTAAATTGAATATATAGCTGCAAGCAGCAAAGTTGTTCAGATTTATATAAATTATAGTTATTATGTAATAATTAACAAGGTACTGAAATTAAATAAAGATTGTTCTACGTTTGCACTCATATTGGTTAAAAGTCGCTCAGAAGGGAATGTATATGATTCACTTCATTTATCATTCATTGCATATTTAATTTAAAGTACATTAAAATTGCTCCAATGACAAAAGTAAGCTGATTCCATGCTTCCAATATCGCCCAACTGTTGTACAGGGTGAAGATAATAATAACCAATAAATGCAAATAACACATAAGAAAAGCAACAGTACTAGAAGTACACAGTGATAGATGGTATGACATTGATACAAGAGATGGGAAACCTTCTTTGGTCAAAACATGTGAAGATGTGGAAACATATTTCCGTGAATGTCTGTTGCAAAAAAATGTAGTTCTTGATCAGTATGATCCGACATTGGTATCGTTAAATGTAGAAACTCAGTCATTGATGTGCTGGTCAGGATTCACGGACATTCACTTCGAGCAACATCTAACTACTTTGAGTAGGCAAAAAAAGAATAATTGGATCAAATCAAATCAAATTGTATATGCAAATCACTTGTCATGTGACCAGGTAACTTGTTTCTGAATGAATTTGTAGTTTGTGCACAGAGTATTTGAGAGTGAATAATTGACCAATTTGGTATTAGTATCAGATTTATTGAATGGCTTAAATTTACAATCAAGTATATAGTAACTGTACCAAGTAACTCATGTACATTGTATCATTAGGAATATACAACTTGTTAGTTAAATTTTATTTTGTGTTTTGTTGTATGAGCTTTTATGCATCTCAGGAGGAAATCTTGTCATTCGTGAATTTATTTTCTACCACACTAATGTACTACTAAATGATCTATCTACATTTTTATATTAATGTTTTTATTATTTTGATTTTTTGACTTTTATGAACTTGTATTACAAACATTGTATTATGATGGGCATTGGAATATGTACATGGCTATCATAGATATAGTACATGTGATTCATTCTAGTTGTAATGATGTGCAACGGGCACCTTTTATTCTACGCGCGTTACTTCGGTGATAAATTTGCATATTTATAACTACGTGATATTGATAGGCATGTCCCTCTTAAACAAAAATCACTTATCCTATTTGATGTACCTGTTAAAATAGTCCACTGCTTTTAATAATTACACGTAACAATACATGTGGCTTCGTGACTCCACTGAGGTCACGGGACACAGTTAGATTTCTGTCTGTATGATATATTCTGGTATTTGCATTGCTAGTTAATACTGATACTGATTAGTACGCCTCTTAGATGACTACACACTCTGTAAAATCAATTTCTATATATGGCAATTTAATCGCATGTAATTAATAGCAAGTTCAATTTTTATGACTTAAGTTGGTTTAATAGTGATTGAATCATTTATTTTTTATGTTCTATATTTGTTATAATTTTTTAGGCAAACCTAAATGACTTTTTGTGCCGTATAAAAATAACAGCAAGATGAATTCCAGCTCTGTGGCAACGCCCTTCACATGAATAGTTGATATTGTACGCCAATTCCCCGCTAGGACACAACATTTTAGGCAACATGATGGCAATTATGTCAGCCAATGCACAACTATCCCATTATATACAACAAAAAAAACCTTGTTTGCAAGCCACAACATATATTGCTGCAATGAATGGCACCCATTTTAGACGGCATACAAGAATTAATGGAAGTATAAAGCACTATTAAAAACCTGTCACTGGTAGCATAGTGGTTGCCGCATCAGACTCATGATCGGTAGACCTAAGTTCAAATCCTACCTCAGGCTGAACATCAGAAAAGTCGACCTTACCCTGCGTGAGTGTTCCACAAACTCAATGGAAAGGCCAATTCCACTGGCAGAGATTTATTCACTAACTAATTCGAAGTTAGCTCGTCTGCCTCTTCAGCCAAGGCTAGGCCCATGTCCGATAATAACAGGGGTTTGCGGCAGGAAGGGCATCCGGCAGATAAAGCCGTAGAAGAATATCAGTATAAATCGTTTATCTTGAAATTGACATGCGAGTACATTGCGATCCGACATCTTAAAATGGTGTTAGTACAGTTTTGTAGTTACTTTATTTGGTCTATAATTATCGAAATAGTATTTATTTATTACATTTATAACGTTGTCTTATCACAGATCAGTTACGTACGTCAGAAAAAATTCGGTGGAAGCCAAACTAATCCAAACATATAGAGTGCGATAGAACATACGGCACAAGAACAATGGTTGTTACTTTTTTGAATCTCGTGAAACTGGGCGAAAAACCAGCACAATAACAATAGGTTACATGCTAAAAGGGGTTAATGTAAGGCTTAAAATCGTGTCACCATTTGTTACATCTGTTATTATAACATTATAACCCACAAACAAAGGTAGTCTTTCTTTTCAATTCAGCAGGTTTTATTAATTGTACTACACGAACTATTGCCATATATTGAACGCGTGCGTTGTATATGATGACCCAAAAAGTAAATGCTGTAAAATGTGACATATCTAGCCTGTCAGGGTAGCGTCATCAAAACACACTCTTTTTTCATAAATTTTCGAAGTAAAAAGCACATGGGGGAGGGGGACAACATTTTCTTCTATAAATTTTGATAGAAAGTTTTGATCTGAAACCGAATTGCATTTAAAGGTGATGTGGGTCTCGACGGTGAACTTCAATCAACCTTTCCCGTGGGACAAGATAATACACGCGGATTGAACACTACCCCTTAGAAACGATAGCGAGTGGGTGTGATTTTGTATGTCACAATACATTACACCCATAGAGCTGTAGGAGTAGTCCCAGGCAACGCCATGGGTCAAAATCCAGGCATACCCACACTTAATATTGTTTGCATCTGTCCATCTCTGGAGTTGGTTGTGAATACATAGGGAGTCTATATCACAGATTTAATTGAAATAAAAACTATGTACTCCTCGTGTCACCATTTAGTATCATTCTCAGTCGTCCGATGCATTTGTCTCTGTGAAATGAATGAAAAAGTGCGTACGTGACGCAATCAATTCTTTAATGGTATCCTGTTGCAGATAGGTCTTTTTTGTCCACGAATTTAATATTCATGGAGATGTGGCATAAAATTGCCCAATCCCTTAGTTTGATGACGTACGTAATATTCCCCTTCCTGGTACGCGAACGCTGATTGACAAACGTCATACATGGTTAGACAGGAGTTCGATTTATCTATATAAATACAGATTAAATTACAGGGCTTCTCATTCTCGAGTTCGGTTTCAACGCTCTACAATCATGAAGCTTCCGTTAGCGTTCTTCGCTTTTGCACTATTAACCGTGTATTGTGCCGAGTCTCTTCCAGCAAACACAGAACAGGTAACGGATGTTTATTTTTCTTTCCTGTGAGAAGTTAGCACGATATAAGAAAACCAATTTATGCCCGGCTTGTATTTCTAATCTTTGACGAAGTTTCAGATATTATTCATTAGTTATGTCCACGAGTTTAGTCTGCATTACGCTGGTTTTAATCGCCTAACATATTTTAAACATATTTTAAGAACGTACCTTTGTATAATACACCTGTTTATTATATTGATCGTACATACCGATATATCCTCGTACCCCGAAACAACGATTCTATGAATAGGATGAAGAAACTGATTTAACATCGTTCGAAAATCAAATTACCTTTCTCGACAATTCAGGAGATTCAAGTTACGCTAGGACTTGACAAAAAAACAAATCAAACTTGTAGAAAATAATGCTTCTATGAATACTATTTATGCAATGAACGAGTTTTGAGTTACAGCGCCTCCGTGCGAGAACGGAAGTTAATTTCTATCTCGCGCAGCTTAGACGCTGGTTGTCCTGGTTACTGGCGTTCTGGTGAGCTATCAAACGTTTACGCACCGAAATTATCCCCGTAACCGCAGACAACATTGGAACGCATTTACAAAAGGGTGCAAAGGTTTCTAAGATAACGACGGGACTTGAAACTTGTCTATAGTGTTCTGTCGAATAACGTCCTGTCGAATGGAGACGCACGGGATACATTGCATTAAGATAATAAATGTTATTTCGTAAGGTTAATAGTATAATACCACCAGAGAAATAATTTAGAAAAATACGGTGTACCAAAATGTAAAATTATTTAAAGCTATTTGATTGTGTGAAACTACGCTGAATGTCGACGGATTTTACGTGAAAGTTAACCCGACTACTGTCCACTAATAAAGAGTGTTTGAGAAATTATACCAGAAATTAATTTTGCAAATAATTAAACGTCACCTGTCCAACACTGTATTAATTATGTGGGAACAAAAAGCTATAAATCATTTAATGAGACAGTGTATAATTTCATTTCCAACGTCACGAAACCATTACCAATTTTATCTGTACGTTTTCTGCTGTTTACAAAGGTTTAGTTTATGGCTGATCTATCGCGATTATTATTTACACCGTTGTTTTATTTTATTATTTACACTGTCCGATTTCGACAACCATGCGTTCATAGTACATATTAAGTGCTCTCCTTATCATACAAATGCGAACCGTAATACATACGCGGTACTTTTTTATTTTTTCATTCACACCATTTGTACGATTTAAGGTAGAGATGCAATTTACCAGACGAGTATTTTAATTAGTTAATTAGGAAACCAAGATGACCTCCCTTGTCAACAAAACTATATATTTTCGGAAAGCTTATTGTATGAATTTAAAAATTTTGTTAGTATTTTTGTTTATGGACACTGTAGTTTGAAATATGCACAAAAATGTGCTTTTATGGTCAAAAGTGATTTAAAAAAAATAGCTTCTAAACCATGCTTCTGTTTCCTGTCAAAATTGGTTTACTGGTACATTGTTTACTATGAAGAAAGTGTCGTCTTGAAAACTGTCTACCAGTTGTCAATTTTGCAGGACAGCAACTCAAATTTCACTACTTCAATTTTATGCATAAATTAACACCCAGGCTAGTTGTCTGTACGATTGTTGTAACACTGTTCAACCCAAAACAATGCCCCGACGGCGTTTTGAAGATAAACACATTGCCAATCATTTGTGAAAATTTCAAAACAAAAGGTCAAAGCGTCTAGGAGCTATTTAAGTTCTGGGATGTGCACTAAAAAGAAGCTGAGATAATTGCTAATTTGCATAACAATTCACTCAGTAAGAAGTTTGTTAATGCTCATAATTAAAATGGCTGTAACAGTTTCAAATTTAAATTTATTATCGTTTTGTAAAAGGTTAAATATAGTGCATAATATGGAGATCCCGTCATTTCTTTTTTTCACCATATTTCTTTTTTATTATTTATGTACAGCCTTGCTAAATCTTGCTAAGCATTCAAAAGAGAGAATGTTTGCACCTGTTATCTATATTTTAAAATCGTCTTTTCAGTATGTTCCACTATTCACAGTTCTACACAATTTTAACAGTCTATGGCCAAGACTGTTTGGATAATAAAAAACAAAAACAAAAACAAAAATTTCACTCCCAAGTGCCCACAAACCTGCATCTCTACTTTAATTTGCTGAACATGTACTATGTGCAAAAGATCATTGTTTGCCGTTAATCTGAATCACAACTCTGCATAATTCCTAGTAACATATGCTTTGATGTTTAACCAACATTTTACCAAATTTACGAAAAGCCTTGATAGGTCGTGTTTCTAATTATAGAAATGATTCGTTGTTCTGTATTGAAGATAAGAATACAAAACAACCGAAGTCTTCCCTTGTGGCAACAATTTAGCTTTCACGACGATTCAAACGAATAAATTGATTCAAAATAATTACATCAACATTGCCAAAGATGCGAAAACCATTTGAGACTATATATAAACTAGTAGCGACAGCTATATCGACGAGCCTAAATAAAGCCTCGCACTCCGAATAGGTTCTTTTATACACATACATTTTTCAGGATACACAAGTATTGACATAAATATGCATTTAATACTTAACAATTATAATAACCACAGTGTGTCGCCAAATTACTCATTAGCTCCCCCACGTCAAAGCCAGGTATTT